TATATAAAACTCTATCTCCTTGAACTGACTTTGATGCGTGCTCGTCCTTGACCTAAACGTGCTCTTAGGACGACATATACGGGCTGGACCACGTCTAGAAGCGCTACCTCTACCGGCGTCTGTTCGACTCTCAAAGAATACCATGAAGTCAATTGTCAGACAAAATGGTTTTTATTAAAATATATAACCTCTAACATTTATATCAAATGTTGAACGTTTTACTTACTAGTGCCGTGCTCTTACGAAAGACATAAAAACGGATTTTCCAATGGTAACCATAATTCTGAATCCGTTCCGGTATTCATAGTTATCCGATTGTTTTTTAAGTGTGCTCTTTGTATAACCTCTTAAAAATATTACGGAGGGAAGCCAAGTGGCCCGGTGGCAAGCATTTATTTGAGAATAATTACGAAGATAGCAGGCGTTTTAGTAGTAAAGTGGAATTTATTACATTTCAAATGTTGTTTACGATGTATTTATTGTGGAATATTAAATCTCATATGATGTGATGTTATCCATTTAATCGCCATTATCACCCAATCTGTCAACATAGGAAATAAGTGAACAAGCAAACACGGGGTAATAACTGATATAGTTAATTTTTACAATCAAGCCGTTTTCATTAAAATATCCCTCTTATTGCTTAAATTGGAAAAAAACTATTCGTATTGCTATTGGATATTGCAAGTAATTAAAAATGCAGCTCTACAAATTAACCCTAGATCTTAATATTCAGTAAGATATATCACTCGAAGCATTAGGTACTCTGTTGGCACAGATTGTAATAGTATTGCAAGTGCATTTTACAAACAATTTTGCGCTCGTTTCACGTATGGTTGCAAAGAGGTGATTTTTTGTTTGTTGAAAGCTAATAAAAAAATATACTGATTTCAACGTTGCTAAGGTCATCAGACATATTTACATTTTGTTTCCATACTTTAGCATATCAAAATAAAGGAAATAGGAACTTAAATGTCATAAGACACAATTAACAATGTAGTATTGAACAATTTTCAATACTTTGGTTGGTCTTTTAATGTTTAAAATGAATATCATCATTTTAGTATTCTCATAGTGGCATAATACAACAAATTAAAAGAGGTTTTGAATTTGAAGACAGTGCTTGGCAACCAGCCTGGGTAACTTTCTATCATTCACAGTTCACGTGCAAATCTGCAAATCCTCATTTTTTATATTTTTTCTTATTATACAGGCTTATTTATTTTTGTAACCTTGCCCTTATTAAGTATTTAAATATATGTTAGTGACACTAAACCTACGGTCACGCGTCCCAGTTTTAAAGAACTAAATCAATATCAAAAACACAAGAAAAATGCAACCCATTTATTTCGTCTTGACTCTCACTATGTTCAATGCCTATCATATCACGTTTTGTTCACTTTCAAAGCATCGGTTTCTTTTTAAATTCTTTTTTTAAAACTATTTGGTTCTGTGATGTCAAACATTTGACTTAACAGCCAAAAGGGCCTAAGACTAAAAAAGCGTGCAGTAGGTAAAATTATATGCTTATAGTATCGGCAATGGCACTAGATAGATTTTTCACTAGAAAAGTTTAGATAAGCCCCTGAGAGTCTTTTTATCCATCATTTTATTTATTTAAGAACACACACACACACACACATATATATATATAATGAATGAAAATCAAAATTAACTAATCAATTTATCAATCAAATAAAAATGTGATAAGCAACTCCTAGTTTCTAAACCTTCTGTCCTAGACGTAGTGTGCTAGAACATTTTTACACTTGGTCCCCCTCGAAATTGAGAAGTTTGACGGCGAACACAAAGTAAAGAACTGACTAAAATTTAGGCATGCACAGCTCTAAAAAAATCAATTTTTAAACTACTGTTCTTCAGACATATTTTTAAAAAGCTGCTGACATGTCGAGTTGGCAAGTCAGGTATATTTAGTTTACAATTGTTAGTAAACATAGTATTAATTAAAATACATCGCTGATATGGATTAAAAAATTAAAGTGATTTTTTGACAAATGATTTACCGCACACAGTCACTTACAGTGATTATAATGCATAATTAACAATACTGGTATATCATTTCTGTTATCAAATGATTCACCACTTAGTAATATAATATGGAGGCCTGGTCCAGATTCGTTCAAAGCTGATAACATAATATTGCAAGCCTTACTGATTAAAACAAGCTAATCTCTGGCAGTTTTGAGATACTCCGTTAAAAATGCACCAAACACATATTGTTATATTGATATGTTAAATTTTGGTCTCTCTACAACGTACGCTTTCATTAAAATGAGACCTTCAGACTGAGACTGGAGAAAACGTACTGTCACATTTAATTACTACCAAGAAAGCTTGCTTTGTATTTGATTAATTATTAATGCGAGATTCTCCTTTTACTTTAATACTGCTAGGGTTATCATTAGGGCTCTGTTCAATATAAAGCAAACAAGAGGAATTGCTACAGCATATTTTCAAGAATTTCATAATGGGATCAATTAATAAAATTGATTTCAGGAGTCACGTAAACATACTGATATATTTTCCTCTCGAAAATTAAAGCAGAGGCTGCTTAACATTTTCGAAATCCTTTTCCTGCATGTAGCATTTAATTTCTTTAAATGTTCATCACTTTTTGACTCTCACAACGGTGAAGTTTTAAAAATGTTTTAAAAACTTGGTCTGTTACCATCTTGCCCGTTCCTTCAATTTATCAAGAGTGTAACAAACACACGTCATATAATTTACCATTTGTTCCATTGTCAATTTTAAAACATCCCTTAAAATAATTTCTTAGCTTTATTTCTTTTTATAAGTCCTATTGCAATATTATATAATATAATCCAGTAACCTATAAAAAGGGTGAAAATGGTTGGTGTGGGGGAAAATAGCCCGTTTAATGGCCACAAGTTGTTTTGTAGAAACTATTAGGAAGCATTCCCACAGATATTTGGATCGATCCATCTTCCTGGGAAGGATCGATGTCTGTCCCGCCTACTAAAAGCTGTTAGGGGGTAATTAACTTTCGTGCGCGCTCGGCTCCCTCTTGAGCTGTTAGCAATTTAGCGTGAACCCCCCGGGAGTTAGGTCGATCCAGATGGATCGATCTAAGTATGGGAACCCAGTCTAATAATAACTGAGTGTGTGACAGACTTTCTTCCTGAATAACGAACAGTAATGTTCACAAGTGACAACTGACAACACTCACCCGTCACAACGAAACAAAGCAGGATAAGTACCACTGTCTTCCTGGTGATTCTGTTGACTTCCCATTTCTTCAGTTTGTGTTGTTTAAGCTGGTCTCTCTTCTCAGTACTCTGTAGCACCTGTCTCAAGTTGGTGCTTGGTTATCAAACCTTATATATAAGTCTATCTCCTTGAACTGAACTTGAACTGGTTGATTCAATTGAGGGGAAAAACTACTCGAATTACGATAAGAAGAATATGCAGGTTTGCGAATTAACGTTACATTTTGCATGTTCCTTAAGATCAATCATCCGAAAACATTACGTAATCCATTGGCAGAGATTGTACTTTATTACAGGTACAAATTTCCATCTGTTTCATCTGGGGTTGCAAAGAGGTGAAATTCTGTTGAAATCTTGCCAAATATCTTCTTCATTTCAACGTTGCAAAGGCCTTTAGATATTTTCTCTATGAATGTTTTGTTTTACTAATTTAGCATAACGAAATACCGTAAATGAAATAAGGACTTGAATGTCGCATAGGGCACAATGAAGTGCATTTTAACAGGCTTCAATATTTCAGTTGAACTTTCAATGGATGAATGACAACCGTCATTTAAGTATTCTCCAACAAAAATATTCATAGTACAAGATATTGAAAGAGGTTCACTATTTTGGAGACAGTGCTTGGCAAACAGCCCGGGTAATTTTCTATCATTCACAATTCACATGAAAATCTCATTTTGGACAAAACGTCAGTGCCACGTTTTCCGATTTGTTATTCTAGAGGTTGGGTTTTATCCACCTTTTTATTTTGATAACCTTGCCCTAATCAAGTATTTAAATGTAGGCCTATGTTTGTGACAGCAAAGTTCTGTGCACGCGCGCGTCCCAGTTAAAAAGAACTAAATCAATATGTTAACCGCAAGAAAATTTAACCCATTTCTATCATCTTGGAGCTCGCAGTATTCAATGCCCATCATATCACGTCTTGCTCACATTTAAAGCATTGGTTTTTTTTTTAAATTCTTTTCTAAAACTATTTGGTTGTGTAATGTCAAACTTCGACAAAAGAGCCCAACGGGATTAAGGGCTAAAAATTTGCTCAGTTGGCAAATTATGCTTAAAATCAGTAAGCACACTACATGTAGCGGTGTGCCTAGCCTCTAACAGGGTCACAGATTGAATTTTCACAAGATATTACGGATGTCTCTGGCCAGTTCATAACACAATTCTCTGCTGACGCGCTGGGAAAAGTACACATAATTAATCTGCAGCCTTGGTAGAGGGTACACTGTCTTTACCTTCTGTTTGTTCTAGCAGTAACAAATTGGCCGAAGTCTTTCTATCTATTTTAAGCAAATACAAGGGCTTCTTATAGAGAAAGCCCAACATACTGAGGTACCATTACTATTGGCTATTTTATAAGATGCATTCCATCTGAATTTCCGTGAGTATCATCGTATATGCACATCAATAATAATAATAATAATGATAATAATAATAATCAAACAAAGAAGTTACAAGATTGTGACTTTATTATCAGATATTAAGTATGCAGTCTTCTTATTCATAATCATATCAACATATAATTAACATAATAATAAACGTATTGTCCATAATTTCATATATTCAAAATAAATATGAGAGCGCAGACCTTCGCCAAGGCAGCAAAGTCTCCACTGATTATTGATTGATTATTGATCCGGATTACCACCAAAAACTAATCAACTATTCTTTGGCCCACTTCTGACAGTTCCTGAAAATTCCATCAAAATCGGTCCATAACTTTTTTAGTTATGTTGATGACAGACAGAAGGATAAACAAACAAACAAACAGGGGTGAAAACATAACCTCCTTGGTAGAGGTAACAAAAATATATGAAAATTCAAATCGATCAATCAATTGAAAATGCGATAAGCAACCCATTGTATCTAGACCTTCTGTTTTAGTACTAGAACACTTGGTCCCCATCAAAATTGAGAGGTACGAGGACAAATACAAAGTAAAAATCCCACTAAATTTCATGCACAAATATTTAAGTTTTTTAAAATCCAAATCTTTAAACTACTGCTCTTCAGTTTTAAAATATTTAAAAAATCTCCTCCTGAAAGATGGCAAGGGATTTAAGGGCACATTTGTAGTATAGTATCTATTTAAATATATCATCAACAAGGATTAAACACTTGATTTAAAAAAATTTTAGTGCATTAATGGTGTAAGGATTCCTTGACATTTTCATCAAATATGTTACGTTTTAACTGTTAAATTTAATGCTGTAGTGGAAATTTAAAATCTTATATACTTAGAAATTGTAAATATGCTAGTATATATACACACAAGTATATCTCATCCTTTTCTCTCTACTGTACATGTATGATATAACAATAGTACTTGTATGAGAAAAGAATAATAACAAATAGTAAAATATGAACAAAGTAAGTACATCTTATGTGAGTCATAGTAAGAGATAAAAACTCTGCTTCCATTGTAATCAGGGTTAACATTCTCAATACCATTGTCCCAATTTTACACATTGAAGGATTGGAAAAATAAATATGAAAACACTTCAAAGCATTTAAATTCTTAGCAAGTTTTAAAATACTTTCGAAATCCTTTATATTCTGGATTCTTTTTTTATTTCATCATGTTGACATTTAGAGAGATGAACAAAATCAAAGCCATAATTTTGAAACAGTATTTTATAATTCTTATCTGGTTGTTTCAGATTTTATGTTCATTCCTAGTTATTTATAGTTATCTTTATCATTGTGACCATCACTCTATCTGCTTATTCATTTGCTGCTTATTCAATCCTTTGTTGTTTTCCTCATTTAATAATCTTGTTTGCATGGTTGTTGTTTACAACTTTCATTGTTGTTGCTTACTTCATCCATTATTGTTGTGTACATCTACCACTGTTGTTGTTTACATCTTCTATTGCTGCTGTTTACTTAATCCATTATTGTTGCTAACATCTTCCATTGTTGTTGTTTACGTCTTCTATTGTTGCTTACTTAATCCATTATTGTTGCTAAGATCTTCCATTGTTGTTGTTAACATTATCCACAACTGTTGTTTACTTGGCATCTCCACCAGCTTTGCTCCTGTTAAGATTTAAAAAATATGTATAAAATATGCATTTCATCAACACTTACCTCACAGAAGAATTTGGCTAAAACAAATATAACCAAATTCCAAATTGTGGGTTCTGTTCTTCAAGAACCTTTTCTTATTTTCATTTCCTAGTGAAAAATGGTGTAACTTTATCATTTAGCTCTGTTATAACTTGTCTCCATACACTGTATAGAAATGTAGTTAAGTTATGCACTGTATTAAAATTAATGAATGAAAATAACAGAGTAGGCAAAGGGTCAAGAGGGTGTCAATCATGATCAACTATTAAAAGAATCAACATTTTACATTTGCATCCCATTCAAATATTTTCTGAATCCATTCCTAATTCCACCTTCATACTAAAAATACCAAATTTTTTTTTCCCAATGACTTCAATTTTCTCTCCATCTCCCACCAACTACTAGTAAATTTGATTAGCAATTTTCAAACAAATATCCATGATTATTTCAAATAATAAATCACGTGGAAAAAAATACCCATCTCAGGTTTGCATTCAATCTTTTTCATACTTCACAAAATCAAATAAATATTCTTAATGATATATTCCAATATGAGGTCTAGGAGTAAAAGATCTAGCAGATAGGGTTTGAAAAAACCAAAAAAGGCCAACCCTGCCAATCTGAATGATTGAAGTTTCTCATGACTGCCACAGCTGCAGCATTAGCATTAGTGAAAAGAGAAGGGTTTTGTATATATCATGTTTGTTGATACAAAAACCAAATGGGCAGGAGCAATTCTGAAAATTGTCAGGAAAATGAATGATAGGGATGGGTAAATGACAAACAGTCTCAAACTAGTCAGATATTCACAATAACTGCTTATTAAGTACTGCATGTTTCAATTATCAAGGGTGCTTGGAAAATATCATATAGTAAACACTAATTGGCTTATAATAAAAACATGCACAACAGAGAAGAGAAGCATTCAATCAGATTGATTCCATGCCATATTCCACACACAATCCGTACCAAGCCCACCGATTGGATACTAATATGTCCAATGAGAGGGCCCGTCCGTCTACAACTTAGACTGGGGACTATTCCTGTACCATTCGATCCCCTCCTGCAGGACACGGAGGGTCGTTCGCACATTCTCTGGCTGCGCATTGTATCCCATAAAGCCAAGTCGCCACACTTTTCCTGCCGAGGCCCCTAGACCACCAGCCAACTCTATCTTATACCTGAAAAATACATCTGTACGGTTATATTGATGTATTAGTTCCAAATCCTGACTGTTTCTATCTTGCTCATGGGAACTTATGGATACCAGCATTCGGGTCAAACCCTATATAAAATACAGTAACAGTTGTGTTTGAGGCATAACAACCTTTTGGCATATAGAGTGCATTTTGCATTTTGGTTTGTTTCTCATGATAGGCAATTGCTTTGAACAGTACATTGACCAAAAAAAAAAAGAAAAAAGTTAATTTTGAAAATGTTTCCATACTTGTCCATAGCGTATTGCGAGACTTTCTTCCAGTCAATTCCATCTGGCACTTCCACAGCAGTTAGAGTGGGGAGCCTGTGGGCCTGGAAACAATATCAAACAACAGAGCTAGGGTAAACAAACAGAGCACGGTATGTCAGTAAAATAAAACTCTGGCCTGAAAACCTCTGTTATAGTAACTGGTCACTTTTTTGGCGGTTTAGTTCAATGGATTCTTAGGCCCATTCTTTTTTTTTTTTTTTTGGGGGGGGGGGGAGCAGACTGTAATGTTATTAGTTATCACCATATCGCTTCACTTATTTGTGTACTAATTTGTAATGTTTATAACCCTATATGCTAGAAAACTCTGTTATAAATATAAAACAGTTTCTGTAGAAAACAGTCTGTAAATGTTACCGAAGCACAAAGTCAGTGTTCAATAAACATATGCATTATAAATCATGCTGGTATAACATTTTCTTTAACATTAAATTATTCACCACTTGGTAATATGGAGACCTGACTTGGGTGTAGCAACGTAACAGATTGCAAAGTTGAAACGCAAACAGGTTATAATTTATGGTGAAATATGTTCAACTGTCTCCTGTACAATGATGGTAAAAAAGGTATAATTCTTAAATAGTTAGATCCAATTTGGCATGCGATCCAGTCCTTTTGATCCAGAGCCAAAACATTATGCCTCATAATAAAGAAAAAACAAAACAAACAAACAAACAAACAAACAAACAAACAAAAAAATCTATAAAAATAATTTACTTCTTACCAAAACATAAAATATCTCTCATATCATGAAAACAAACATCCGACAAAGAAACAACAACAATAACAACATGGACCAATCCACAATGCACAAAAAATTATGGCTTAATTCTTGTTTCAAATTTGTAATACACTCAGTTAATTCTTGTAAAAAACATGTGTTATATTACCTTGTTTTTCACAAAAGGTTTCAGTCCCATTTTTTCCAGGCCTTCATACAAGATGTTTGCACACTTCTGATGCCTTGCCTGACACTCCTCTAAACCCTACCAAAACAAACGACAGATCATAGATAATAAAAGTTCGTCATACTCATACAAATCGTAAACTAAAAATCTCCATGACCTGTTGATAAAATGATCAATATCCACAAATAAGAGTTTGGTTAAAAATTACATAAAATAGTTAAATAAACTTAATTATGTTAATGTAAATCCATACTGCTGTCTGATCAGAAGTGGCTTTGGGGTACAGGTTTTGAGGCCCATAGTCGTGACACTGATATCACTGGCTTAAACAAATTATTAGCTGGCTCAGGACACCCTTTATTGTAACATGAATGTAACATTTAACGATGGTGAAAAAAAAAATTTAGAATGTGATAAACAATCAGTTCCATAACACTGAATAATTGTTACCACCATGCTTTGAGTTTCAGTCGATATTTTTTATCGTTATCTTGTGGCAACAAGAGACTGTTAACATTTTACAGACATAATCAAGAGATTTTCAGTGATTTTCATCCTTTCACTTTTAACCAAAACATTCCCATCATGAAAAAAAAAAAATTTTTTGAACCCAACCTTATAGACACTTACACTTCCTGAATTTCACACTAAAACGATTCTTTAAAACCAATATAAACATGGTTTCAAGCCTTTATACTGAATCTAGTGTACCAGTTGTCTTAGAGTTCCTAAAATTGGAATATTTTTACCTCCTCGACTAGCATGGACAATCCTTCTCTCAAGGCATACATTGAAGATATGGGTCCTGTGTGGTGATATCTACAATAAAAGGTAAAATACTGTTACAGTTTTTGCTGTGTGTGTGTGTGTGTGGGTGGGTGGGTGGGGGGGGGGGGATACTGTTATATGCAGGGAACAGGAAATTCCATTTTTATCATCATTTTCACGAATCTACCAACCTTACCCTGGGGTGTGTGGTGGTTACTGCCCTCTGTACACCAAAGGTCATCATGTCTAGCTTTCACCTTGTACTGTCGGAAAGGGAGGGGGGTATGGAAAAAGACTCCTTTTTGTAGGCTTGTGAAATGACGATAAAGACAGATGACCCCTAAATTACTTTTTAAGGCTCACAATAAAACTGGACATTTATTTCCAAGTTGACCAGAAAACTGGACACTTACTTTCTAGGTTGACCATCACATCCCCAATAATTCCCCAACCAGTTCATGTCGAGATAAAATGACCTGACTTTTGTCTTCCTTGCTGCCAATTTATTCCTGTAAAAACATTTCCCTAGTTAGAAAATGCAATGTGGAAATTCTGCATAAAAAGGCATTAAAAAATAATTACCTGCCTTCAGCTGTTTATATTAATTTGACCCAATTCCCCTCTCAACTGATTTTAAAGAAAAGATGCAAAAATAAAATCTGCAGGCATCAAAGTGAACAAATAACTTTGAATATATTCTAACAGGAATTATGTATTTCAGAGTTTCAACTTTGAAACTCATTGGAGGAGTAAGAGAGAGGGTCTACAAATTTTTTTCACTGATTTAATGAACAATATCTGTGATCTCCCCTGTACGCGTAAAAAAAAATTACATGTATACTAGTTAGAGCTGACAAAAACCCATGAAAAATACTGAGAAGGTACTCCTCATGGGTTAAAATGAGATTATTGTACAGATTATAGTACAGATGTTCATTGAATAGTTGTAGATTTTTTTTCTACTCTGCTTATCAAGTTATATTAATGTGCTGCTTCCTAGGCATAAACTATATACACTACCCTGTTTTCTAATCAAGGGAGATAAGTGCTGCCCCTTTTGGACATAAACTACACTACCACTCTCTCTGATTGAATGTGATAGGTGCTACCCCTGGTGGGCATAAATTACACTATTAAGCTCTCTGACTCAGTGAGATAGGTGCTGCCTCTGGTGGGCATTAACTACACTACCTGGCTCTCTGGTTGAGTGAGATAGGTGCTGCCCCTGGCGGGCAACTGAGAACCTTTTGTGACCCACTATATAAGACATCAATATCTGGAAAATAATCAAAATGATTTTCTTATTTTTGATAGGTAAATTGAAATAGTTTTAGTTTCATATCAGCTTAGTACATAAGAAAATACGCAGAACTTGTTTTTTACCTTCTTGCAATATGAGAGAATAAACAGGTAGTTCTAGATACACGTATCAATTAGTACACTTACAAACAGAGTTTATATCCACTTGGTTTGTCAGTAAAAGGGAACTATTGCCTAAATCAAAGTGTTGTACAGACCTGTAGAACTCTTTATGTAAATCTAGCCTTACAAACATGAGAACTTTTTTTTTTCTTACAAATGACTATCTACAAAACAAATAAATAAATAATCAAGACAAAAAAATATCCAAAGTAGATTTAGCACTCACTCCACTGATCCATGAACATTGGAGCACCGCCCAGTGAGGCCACACAGTCCACTATCAGGATACAATTGTGACTAGAAAAAAATCCAATAAAAATAATTACAATTATAAATAAATTCTACAAAGAATGAAGATGTATGAACCTTGAACTTATTATATAATAAGTAAAAAAAAAAAGAAAATACTCCTATGTTCTTTATTTAACAATATTAATAATATTTATTAGATATATCTGTTCCTAAAACATGAATTTGATGTAGCTGCAGCTGAAGAAAAGGGTAATAACAATCACAAATGTACCATTTGTTGAACGAGGAGGCGTGCAAAAAAGGAGAAAAAAAAAACATTCAGTCCCCTTTCAGTCTTTAACTCAAGAGCTGGTGTGACAAAACAGTTTAACTGAACAAAAAAAAAAAAAAAAAAAAAAAGATTCCCCACTTCCAGATCCATCCCTGTCACCAATACCTCTTGCACAGGTCTCCTATCCCTTCCAAGGGCTGCATCACAGTAGAGGATGACTCACTGTGAGCTATGAATGCCACCGACGGCTTGTGATGGTCCAAGGCCTGAAAATAGATGTTACAGTAGTAGTAGTAGTAGTAGTACAGTGACAAGCATTCAAATGAGACTTATGTGAGTCACATAAAGGACACGTATGTGACTCACATAAGTTCTTCTCTAGATTTATTATTATAATATAATAATAAAAGTGATAATAATACTTATTCTGAGTCTAAAACCTATAAAATGTTCAGCAGACTTTACAACATGATATTAAACAGATATGCTGTGGTAAAAGTTACAGAAAGATAATTAGAAATTAGATGATTTTAATACATTTAAATGAAAAAACGCAAAACAATTGATCCTTTATCATAAAAATTGAATCATATACAATAATATAACTGTTTAAAAATTAAAGTAAGAACAAGTAAAATGTAAGATCATGAGGTAAATAACTCTCTGAACAATGCTGGTGAAAAAGCTCCATGTTCAGGCAATGACAAATGACCTCTTCACGCTGGTATTCTGGTAAAGCCCCCTTTACACTGGACGGCGTCCCTTCTGCGTCCAGCAGTTCGGCCCCATTTGAGAGTTAAAGAATTATAATACTTTACGTGCCGACAACTGGCTGATCAATGAGCATTCATTCTGATACCAAATCAATGCTCGTGCCTCCTTATTAAGACCACAGCGATGCCAAATTTCATGGTCGCAGAAAGGACGCAGAAAGGACGCCGTCCAGTGTAAAGGGGGTATTAGTGAGCCAACTGTACCTGTTTAACATCATCTAATGTGAACACCGCCCCCATTGGTTTTTCTACGACCCGGACATCAGCGTCTGAAAAATAAATTGATTTAAAAAATTGAAAAAAAAAAAAAAAAAAAAAAAATTACATCTTTGTATTTGGTAAGAATTTGAACCATGGCTAATCCCCTGATAAATTGCTGAAAATGATGATACCGATAAAACATTGAATCTAACAAGGACCAGGCCATGACTTGTATCAATATTAGCAGATGTTACTCAAATCTTTCACCGATGCCACATGTTGCTAAAATTCTATAATTCACTACCAACACGCAGCTTATATATTAGTATATATCACTGTTGAGACGCAAATCCATTCAAATTGAATATCAGAGAGACAGATGGAAAAAAAGAGACTGTCGGCTTGGTGTCATGCAAGACAAGAAAACGTGCTGGAATTTGCATGAGGATATTGGTGTTAATTTTTTTGCAATTGGGGTTAAATTTTAAGAACCAAGAATACTGTATTGGAAGTCCATACAAAAGTGACACCCTACACAAAGTTAATTTGTACTTTTCATTTATACTGTTACAGAAAAATATCCATGGATAAGCCCTTACAGGTTTTAATCACTGACGAACCACACTTGCAAGCCTTTCTTAAATCTGACACCTCTTTTTTCTAATTATATATAAATTGCCCAAAATACCATTTCATATCACAAGAAGCCAGGAGGCTTTGGGCTATGTTGAATGTTTTCCTTTGGAATTGTACCTTGCAGGGACTCTTTTGCTTCAAGCTCATCTGTATCTTACCGTGTCTCTCTGCCATGTCGGCGAATCTCTCTCCCCAAAGACCAGCCGAAAACACCACCACCACATCTTTGGGTTCAACCATGTTGCAGACTGCCGCCTCCATTCCAGCATGACCTGACAATAAAAAAATTAGGTAAGAGACTGATACCAAAGATATTTCATGGTCTATCAAACTACAACAAAATCCCATGCAGCTTGATATTTTAATGCTATATTCCTTACAGATCAATTTTTATGGAAAAAACTTTTTCTTCATTATTTTTTATTCATTTATCTTTATTTATATTTATATTTTTTTTTTGGGGGGGGAGGGAGGGGGGCAGAGGGTTTTAGACCTGAGACTTTTAAATTGACATGGCTTTAATGAAAACTATGGACACTTCACCATCACACTTTTAACGGGCTTTACTTTACCTGTCCCTGAAATGGCCAAAGTTAGCTCATTTTGTGTTTGAAATGCATACTGCACCCCTTCTTTTATTTCATCCATTATCTGTAAAACAAACAATAAAAAAATCAGACACATGTACACCAAGTCTTTTTAAATACACAAAACGCTATGGTGAATTTAACAATAAATATACATATGAAATTAACAGTGCTGAGCTTCACACAGGGTGAGATCAGCAGTGGAAAAAATATGAGAGAAAAGACAATTTTATTTTAAAATTCCTCTTGCTTTGCTCTGGTATACGAGACAAATTCTTATATATACTCTTTGGGCACACTTGATTCCAAATAAATAAATTAAGAAAAATAATTAAGTTGCAGCTAGTACATATGTGGCAGTGAAAAAGTGTCCCATCATGAATATCTGGAACAGGCACCACTACTGACACAAAATCAAATAAATACTTCATAACAAATTTTAAACCTGTTTTGATCATTGTATTACTGTTATTATTATTATTATTATTATTATTATTACTGTGGGCTAGTGTGTTTTTTTTTATTTCATTCACCGAGCAAGTTGACAACCCAGCCATGCAGATAACACAATGAACAATGTAACAGAATTGTTTAACACAGTTAACTTGCCGCAGCATAGATCAACCTGTACAATATGTTACATGCCCCCATAACACGCAAACCGTCGCATTCTGAATGATCCGATTATCTATCAACGTGTCAACAACAAGAACAGCGACAGGCACTGAACCGGTTGGCTGACCTTCTAGTACAATCATTCCGACCCCAATCATTCTGCCATCCGATAGCCTACACATTATCTAATTTCTATTCACCGACTTACCTGAAAAAATTCGGGATGACAGTGGCCCAAAAGAGGCAAAGCACACGCTGCTAGCACTCTTGGGGGACAATTCGACGGCCCAGGCCCGTACAGCGACTTCCTGGGGAAGTTCATGGGCTTTAAGAGCGATTGCGGCGGAGGCATAATGCTCGACATCTTGCACAGTCTGTAGAAAATCCTCATTGCACTGCGCGACCTACTTATACGTCGTCAATGTAAAAATTAGGTCAAGGGTAGGTCATGGGTTGTGGAGACGTTGTAAACGGGTATCTGATTGGATAAAAGTTTTTGTACCTTTTGTTTTGAGACCAATCGGATCTTTTCGGTCATATTCACGCTTATAGATATAATATTATTAAGAGGGCTTATAGTTAAATGAACAGACACGCCACAAAAGCAAACAGGAGGGCAAATGTTGCAGTATTTATACGAAAAAAGACTAAATATTGATACAGAGAATGCATAGTCGTATTGTTAAGTCTCAATCTTCGTCGGTTAGACTTNCCGCAGCATAGATCAACCTGTACAATATGTTACATACCCCCATAACACGCAAACCGTCGCATTCTGAATGATCCGATTATCTATCAACGTGTCAACAACAAGAACAGCGACAGGCACTGAACCGGTTGGCTGACCTTCTAGTACAATCATTCCGACTCCAATCATTCTGCCATCCGATAGCCTACACATTATCTAATTTCTATTCACCGACTTACCTGAAAAAATTCGGGATGACAGTGGCCCAAAAGAGGCAAAGCACACGCTGCTAGCACTCTTGGGGGACAATTCGACGGCCCAGGCCCGTACAGCGACTTCCTGGGGAAGTTCATGGGCTTTAAGAGCGATTGCGGCGGAGGCATAATGCTCGACATCTTGCACAGTCTGTAGAAAATCCTCATTGCACTGCGCGACCTACTTATACGTCGTCAATGTAAAAATTAGGTCAAGGGTAGGTCATGGGTTGTGGAGACGTTGTAAACGGGTATCTGATTGGATAAAAGTTTTTGTACCTTTTGTTTTGAGACCAATCGGATCTGTTCGGTCATATTCACGCTTATAGATATAATATTATTAAGAGGGCTTATAGTTAAATGAACAGACACGCCACAAAAGCAAACAGGAGGGCAAATGTTGCAGTATTTATACGAAAAAAGACTAAATATTGATACAGAGAATGCATAGTCGTATGATGAGAAAAAAATGTGGCGATGCTGGGTAGGCACAGCCATTATGGTCTACTGTACATGTATACTGAATGCATTGACACGCAAGCAGGTCGATCATTTAATTTGTACATTAGTACCACCTTTGAAAGCTCAACCACACACATATACAACGTAGCTTGGACCCACGATCTACGTGGGTCACCGGCTAAAAATGACTGTCCAGAGGAAATGTAGGAGTCTCTGATAGACTGGGAGAAGCCCCCCTCCCCCCCCCCCCCACCCACCACAGAGAGAGAGAGAGAGAGAGAGAGAGAGAGAGAGAGAGAGAGAGAGAGAGCAAAATGTTTTAAAAATATCTGGGAGTGGGTATTTCAGTCACACGAGCATGAACTTACGAAACAATAACAAAATTCGCAGATCAAAACAAATACGCAGTGCTGCTATTAACTTTTAAGATGAAGGGTGATATTCATTAAAACTAAATTAAAACGATAAAGGGTAGGTATTATACTCATCAGAAGTGGATGTACGGCTGTCAATGTGCCAGTAAATATGAAGACGATTCCCAGATAATGATTGTTTTCATTTGAATGAATAATTGAAAAACTGCATATGTTGGGCATGTCTAAACATGTATATATACATATACTAACGCCTCCCTTAAACAGTTATAAAAGAGCTTAAATTTTTGAAAAAAAGAAAGACAAAAGGCAGTCCCGCTACATCCACAGGTAGACACTATCAAAACGCAAGTATCACAATAAAATTTGATCAGTGTAACAGAATTGTAGTCTACTTATTGAAAATTGAGTATCAAAGTATCAAAACAAAGAAAAAATGATAAAAATACTCTGTTTTCATTACAGACGAAAAAGAGTTAATAATTTTGCAAACTGATGTAAGATACAAAAATTTCACGTGTGAAGTCTGGCGTAAATTAAACTTTTCTGATGTTGTCATTCGTTTTCCTGATTTATCTATAACGATTCAACCAGAGTTATAATTCAATTAGTGTATTATCGCTGGCAATGATCCGGCATCTGGTCTAGTTCTATTATTTAAATTTCCCATCCCAAAATGAACAAGGTCTAAAATCTTCTTGTCCAGTGAACAAGCCAGTTATTGCTGTCACTTCTGTTTTCGTTTTCAATGTCGTGATGGTATGGCATTCTCCTCGCTTCGTATGCTTCCCGCGCCGCTTTTGCCTGCTGCATCTCTCGCAAACGAATAGACTCGGCCCGGATGTCGCAGTGGTAGCTGAAGCCTCGGCCCCTGCGAGCTCGGCCCTGTGCATGCGATGGACCCCCCGCGTTATTCTGATTCTGTTGCTGTCGCCATGGGCGTGTCTCACCGACTGGGGCATTTTGGCTGTCATTTGGACCCCGCCCCGTGCATGTTGATTCACCAGAGGCAGGCGCTAAAGTATTGTTATTGCTGCTACTGTATCCGTTCTGCCCGTTCTTCTTTTGAGAAGGTACACTTTCGCTTTCGTTTGCGGCCGCCTCTTGAAGAGATGCTCCACCTGATGCCTCTCTCAATGAGTTCAGGTGGCCCGTATTAGACAGTAACTGTGCATCGGCGCGACTGACGTCTGTTCCTCCAGATGCCAAGCTCCGCTCTCTTTCAGAGTGGGTGCGATCTCCCGCGTTATTCATGTTGCCGTGGTTACTTTGTTCGCCAAACGATTGAAGAGTCAAATTCGATGCAGAATCGCCATTCTCCCTTTCATCCACACTGTTGTTCCTGCGCTTCCGTTTTACTTTCGCTCTCTGTGTCGTGCAACTTTCGCTTTCGTTTTCTTTAACATGAGATTCCGCAATTCCACCTTCGGCCCCTACCAATTCTTGCGTTTGCAGAGAAAGTTCTCCGACCCCGCGGTTCTCCTCAGACTTTTGAATCACTTTTTCATAAAGGAATTCACCAGCTAAAGAAAAATCATTTATGTTATTGGTTTTATTTTCCGCGCCCTGTTCGAATACTGATAGGAAGATGTCATTTTCGCTCTCCGTAGCATGGTGACGAACTTTTCCTCCAACTGCACCGACCAATGGTTCTGTCTGTGCTTGAAAATGTTGCGCGTGCGTCGTTCTTCCAGCCTTGTCTTGATCACTTGACTCAGGTTCTGCTGCGACAGGCACATCATCCTGAAGTGGACAGTGTCCAGATGAGTTTAAACTGCGCCTGTTATCGGCACTGTTGTTGTTTGTATTTTGCTCAGCGTCTCTTGAAGGCGTAGCACCTGCCATCTTGGAATCATTGTCGAATTCGGAGATATTGGCTTCCTCATCCTCTTCAGGAATCGTATCGAGCATGCTTGCTGCTGAGGCAGTTTCTTTTTCAGCCAGATCACTTTCGATTTTGATTGCTTCCATTATCACCGATGGTATGACAGAGAACTTGGCTAGATTTCTTTTCACGTCTCTCAAGTTGCTTAAAAACTCCATTTTGTCTGTAATCTCCTTTATGGCCACTCCGTCCAGCGTGGTCACGATTTCCGAAAATTCGTTCTCTGCAGAAATTAAATTCATGAAGGAAAATAATTTAAGGTTTTCTTTTTGTGATACCAATTATTCTATATCTTCATCTTAATCACAAGACATATAAAAGTCCACATTGTACTTATGTTTAACTATGTCTTTTAAAACCCATATATAAATTAATGATCGTCTATCGTCTATAAATAACTCTTTCATTAAATTTTCATCAAAGATATTACAAGCTTGTTGGGTTTTGGAAACAGTAAAAACATATGACGAAAAAAAATGCCTGAGATAAATTAATTTGTATAAATTTTCAACAAAAAAGGCATGACAAAACAACAATAACTCACCAAGGCACACATGAGAAACCTCCACACTCTTTAATTCCGCCGTCGTTTCTTCCAACTTTCCCTGCCAGTGTTCCAAGTGCTCCATTATCTTTCTCTCCTCCATTCGCAGTTCGTCAATCTTCTTCTTAGTGCTCTGCAACTCCTTCTCCGTGTAAACTCGAATGATGTGGGCATTTTCTGCCAGTTGGTCTAGTTTCTTTTCTTCTTCGTCGCGAGCGACGCTTACGTGGTACACATTGCAACCCGTGTGACAATGCAACACGCAGACCATGCAAGCAAGGGCGTCGCAGTCAGAGCAGTAGTAGAGAAGGCCTTCGTTTTCATGAGCGCTGCATACATTCTCGCCTTCTGCGGTTTGATCCGCGTTTTTATCGGAAGGGCGTTTATTTGAGAGATACAGGAGATGGTGAGCGCCCTCGCCGGCGTCGCCTATTTTCTTGTGCGCGGCAACGCAGTTCTCGCACAGTAGACGAGAGCAATTTTCACAGTAATGGGTTGCGTCTATGCTTTCGCCTATGAAAAAAAGAAAAAATATATTCAAATTTTTAAAATCAAATAATTTACAATTTTTAAAAGATCATTTGAATAGTAATATCAACCAATGATCGTCATTGCTGTCATTGCATTTAACATGTTTCGTGATGACTGGTTTTGATACATATAACAGCCATATACCTACCTAAATATTTACAGACACAACACTTCCACTGAGTTTTCTGCTCCACTACCCTTAGAGCATCAACAAATTTATGGAGTAAAAAGTTATCTGGCAATTTGTCGAGTCCGTTCACAGGCACTTTTGTATCCTTGCGACATGTCGGACATTTAAACGACTTCGGAAATTTGGGGTATTTGGCGCTTTGTTGGTTGTGCTGTTGTTGTTGTTGTTGTTGTTGTTGCTGCTGCTGCTGCTGCTGTTGGTTTCTCTGGTTTCGTTGAGGGTTTCGTGGTTGTGGCATCAGTGGGGGTATCGGTTGTGTTGGCGGAAACTGTTGTATCGATCTGGACTGAGTCGGAATTTGAAATTGACCACCAGTTTGCTGGTTGAAAGGGTTGTGAGCTGGTGCCTGCATATTTGATGCCGCTAGCATTTGAGCCTGTGGATTTAACATAGACGCTGGTCCATTCAAGTTCAAAGAAGCCGCAAGTTGCGCCTGTGCCTGCAGCGTTGCCGTCTCCTGTGCCTGTGGAGTCTGTGTTGACCACGTTACCGGGAGATTCTGTGGAAGCGAAAATGCCGGCGGAATCGTTGGTGCCTGGGTGGATAAATTGGCTTGCGCGGCTAGTGAAGGTATATTTCCCAGGGGGTAACTCTGCGTAGCGGCCACTGGATTGACATTCCCGGCACTGGGGCCGATATTTTCTGCTGCGGCTTCGTGTTTATAAGAAGCTCCGTACACATGTTTTTCCAGGCATTGCAAACAGAAGGTGTGTAGGCAAGGCAAGGCTTTTGGGTTGAAAAACTCCTCCAAGCATATAGGGCAATGTAAAAAGTCATTATGCTCCTCTACCTTGCCAAAGTTTTTGAACGGAGACCGCGCCCCAAACGATGCAGCCGCCGGGGGACCCTTTCTTGCTGTCTCACTCATGTTTTCTCTTTCTGTGATGGAATCGGTTATTTGTGGTGCAGAGCATGCCTGAGCTCAACTGAAAACAAAAATAAAAAATAAAACGTTGCCTTTCGGCCGAGAAGACAAAAACTAATGGCCAGAAAGTAGTCTTCAGTGTTTTTCTTGTTACCGCGACGACCACTAAATCAGTTGTGACCTAATCTAACCCATCATTATTACGTCATGTAAGTATGTCGCACGTCACGTGACGTTTTCGTCGCGTCGTGACACAAATTCACCTGTATCC